ATTTTGGGGTTTTTTGGGGTTTTTCTCACCCTGCACCCCCAGTTCTGCTGCCCTGTCCCTCATCCCCTCTCGGTCCCGCAGCACGATCGCTCTCCAGAGCCCGCACAGCGACAGCCGGTCCCTGGGGGGGCACGGGGGTTTTGGGGTCCCCCCGGGGGATTTTGGGGTCCCCCCAGTGGTTTTGGGGTCCCCCCGGGGGTTTTGAGGACCCCCCACCCCAGATTTGGGGAACCCCCCCAGAGATTTGGGATTTCCCCTGGGATTTTGGGCTTCCCCACCCCCACCCCGGTTTTGGGGTCCCCCGGGGATTTTGGGGTTCCCCCGGGGCAGTTTTGGGCTCCTTCCCCCAATTTTGGGGTCCCCCCGGTAATTTCTGGGGTCCCCCTGAAATTTCGGGGTCCCCCCAATTTTAGGATCCCCCCAATTTTTGGGATTCTGGGCCGATTTTGGTCTCCCCCTGGGGCACTTTTGGTCTCCCCCCATTTTCGGGGTCCCCCCGGTGATTTTTGGACTCCCCCCCATTTTTGGGGTCCCCCCCCATTTTTGGGCTCCCCCTGGGATTTTGGGGTCCCCCCAATTTTAGGATTTACCCCCAATTTTTGGGATTCCCTCGGGGTTTTTGGGCCAATTTTGGTCTCCCCGGGGGCACTTTTGGTCTCCCACCATTTTCGGGGTCACCCCCATTTCTGGGGTCCCCCCCATTTTCGGGGTCCCTCCCCCATTTCGGGGTCCCCCCCCCATTTCGGGGTCCCCCTCTCACGTGGCGGGAGATGAAGCAGGACATCGGCCCGATCTCGGTGAACAGCCCCACCTGGGGGGGAAATGGGGAGAAATGGGGAAAATGGGGAAAAATGGGGGGAAATGGGGAAAAAATGGGGAAAATGAGGGAAAAATGGGGGGAAATGGGGGAAAAATGGGGGGAAATGGGGAAAAATGGAGGGAAATGGGACAGGAATGGGGCAAAAAGGGAAAGGAATGGGGAAAAATGGGGAAAAATTGGGAAAAATGGGACAGAAATGGGGAAAAAGAGAAAGGAATGGGGAAAATGGGGAAAAAAAGGGACAGAAAGGGGGTGCTCAGAGGGGTCAGACCCTCAGGACCCCCAGAACTGTCACCTTGGTGACCCGGGTGACCCCTGAGTGACCCCTGAGTGACCCCTGAGTGACCCCAGGTGACCCCCAGGTGACCCCTGAGTGACCCCTGAGTGACCCCTGAGTGACCGCTGGGTGACCCCTGAGTGACCCCAGGTGACCCCTGACCTTGTTGACCTGAGTGACCCCCGGGTGACCCCTGACCCCTGAGTGACCCCTGGGTGACCCCGGGTGACCCCCGACCTTGTTGACCTGGGTGACCCCTGAGTGACCCCGGGTGACCCCCGACCTTGTTGACCTGGGTGACCCCAGGTGACCCCTGACCCCTGAGTGACCCCTGAGTGACCCCCAGGTGACCCCTGACCTTGTTGACCTGGGTGACCACGGCGTCCACCACCTCTCCCTTGAAGGGCCGGAACACGATGGCCTTGTAGCGCACGGGGTACAGGACGAAGCCCCGGCCCGGCTGGATCACCCCGGCGCCGATGTTATCGATGGTGGTGACTGCGATGACGAACCCGTACCTGAAACGGGGTTTATTGGGGTTTATTTGGGGTTTATTGGGGTTTATTGGGGTTTATATTGGATTTATTGGGGATTTAATGGGATTTATTGGGGTTTATTGGGGTTTATTGGGGATTTATTGGGGATTTATTGGGGTTTATTGGGGTTCGGATCACCCCGGCCCCGATGTTATCGATGGTGGTCACTGCGATGACGAACCCGTACCTGAAACGGGGTTTATTGGGGTTTATTTGGGGTTTATTGGGGTTTATTGGGGTTTATTGGGGTTTGGATCACCCCGGCCCCGATGTTGTCAATGGTGGTGACTGTGATGACAAATCTGGGGTTTATTGGGGTTTATATTGGATTTATTGGGGTTTATTGGGGTTTATATTGGATTTATTGGGGTTTATTGGGGTTTATTGGGGTTCGGATCACCCCGGCCCCGATGTTGTCAATGGTGGTGACTGTGATGACAAATCCATACCTGAAATGGGATTTATTGGGATTTATTGGGGTTTATTGGGGTTTATTGGGGATTTATTGGGGTTTTATTGGATTTATTGGGATTTATTGGGGTTTTATTGGAGTTTATTAGGATTTATTTGGGTTTATATTGGATTTATTGGGGTTTTAAAGGGATGTATTGGGATTTATTGGAGTTTTATTAGAGTTTATTGGGGTTTTATTAGGATTTTTTTGGGTTATTTGGGTTTTTTGGGTTTATTTGGAGAGGATTTGGGGTTTTTGGGGTTTTAGTGTGGATTTTTTTGAGTTTTTTGGGGCCGTTTTTGGCATTTTGGAGTTTTTTTGAGGCAATTTTTGAGTTTTTTGGGGCTGTTTTGGGCATTTTTGGGGCCGTTTTTGGGGGGTTTTTTGAGGCCTTTTTTTGGCATTTTTTGGGTTTTTTGGGGGCCATTTTTGGGGGGTTTTTTGGGCTATTTTTGGCATTTTTAGGGCCGTTTTTGGGGGTTTTTTTGGGGCCGTTTTTGGTTTTTTTGGGGCCGTTTTTTTTGGCATTTTTGGGTTTTTTTGGGGCCGTTTTTGGGGTTTTTTGGGCCATTTTTTGGGGGGGGACGGCCCATTTTTGGCATTTTTGGGGTTTTTTTTTCGGGGCTGTTTTGGTTTTTTTTGGGGCCACTTTTTTTTGGGTTTTTTTCGGGCCCGTTTTTGGCATTTTTGGGACTCCCGGGATGCCTTTGGGGCCATTTTTGGGGTTTTTTTGGGGCTTTTTTGGGGGTTTTTGGGGCCTTTTTTGGCATTTTTGGGTTTTTTTGGGGCCGTTTTTGGTTTTTTTGGGGCCGTTTTTTTTGGCATTTTTGGGTTTTTTTGGGGCCGTTTTTGGGGTTTTTTGGGCCATTTTTTGGGGGGGGACGGCCCATTTTTGGCATTTTTGGGGTTTTTTTTTCGGGGCTGTTTTGGTTTTTTTTGGGGCCACTTTTTTTTGGGTTTTTTTCGGGCCCGTTTTTGGCATTTTTGGGACTCCCGGGATGCCGCCATTCTCCCTCCAACCCCCCCTCGGGACCCCTCCTCAGGGATAAAACCTGGCGGCCAGCAGCCCCAGGCGGTGAATATTCCTGTGCAGCACGGCGTGCAGCACGGCCAGGTGCTTCCCCAGCTCGCCGTCCCTCCCGAAATCGCGGCGGAACGCGCCCAGCTCGGGCTGGAAGGTGAACTTTTGAGGCAGGGGGCTGTTCTCCCTCAGGTACCCCCAAACGCTGAGCAGCAGCAGGTGAACCTCGAAGGGAGCCAGCTCGGGGAACAGCTCGTGCATGTTGCCCAGCACGGGCGGCAGCAGCGAGCCCTCGGCCAGCAGCGCCACCAGCGCGCACGACGCCCGCAGGTGCCAGGGCGAGGCCAGCGTGCTGCCGGCGCGGCACGCGTCCCAGTGGGCCACCAGGCTGGCCAGCAGCCCCCGCAGCAGCACGGAGCAGTAGCACAGAGCGGGGCGGCCGCCGGCGACCAGGCGGAGCAGCGGGAAGAGCAGCGGGTGCTGGCGGAAGCGCCGCAGGATGCGCAGGTCGCGCTCCACCGTGGCCTTGGCGAGCTCCTCGGGCGGCCACGCCAGCTCGGCGCCGGCGGCTTCGGGGCACACGGCTTCCACCAGCGCCGCCGCCACCGCCTTGGCGGCCTCGGCGCCCACGGCGGGGCCGGAGGAGCCGCGGCAGCAGCGCAGCACCAGGCTCAGGAAGGTCTGCGTGTTGCGGCTCAGCTCCTCGGCGCTGCGCCGCCCCGCGCCCGCCGCCGGTTTCGGCCCGCGGCCGATGACTCCGGCGTGGAAAACGGACCAGACGCCGCCGGAGGCGTCGGCGAAGCGGCGGTTGGTGTCCAGCAGCGAGACGGCGGGCGGCGCCGG